GGGCTGCAAGTCTGACAAGACTTTGGGAATCAGGTGCTCAACCCCAAGGGCAGCTCTGTCCGAGCATCACATCCCCACCTGCCAGCTGGGACAAGGAGGCTTCCAGCAGCACTTGCATTTGCTGCATAAACCCAGGGATGGCTGGAAATGCTGCTTTTCACCAGTCTGAAAGCTCCTTTGTGTGGCAAAACTGTGAAATCTGTTACAGTGCACTGAGAAGAAGGAGGAGGCGGAGGAGGTGGAGGAGGAGAAGGACGAGAGGGAGGAGGAAATGATCTCTGGGAAACAAGGATGGGAGGAGGACGGGACTTAGCAGAGCTGGCAGCACTTTCTGAAGGATGCTGTGAAGGACCTTGCTCACGACTTGGGTTGCACGCTGGGCAAGGAGAACACATCACCCTCAGAGCCCTCATGCACCCAGCAATAATTATTTATTGAAGATAAAGGTGGGAAAGTCACTCACTAAAGAAATTGATCTGGTACGGATTAGGGCAAAATTTGCCTCGTGTCTAATAAAATGTGTTTTCTCCCTTTACAAATCTTTTCTCAAGAATGCCATCTTCTGGTTTTAAATGAAGTTGAAGGTTTTCATCCCTAAAAGGAGCTCTGACAGTTTGGGTGCACAAAGCAGACAAATATGCACATTGCATGGAATAGCACAACTAGAGCATGTCTGAATTTGTCCATAAAACCTTTGTTTAGTGGAAAAAAAGAACTGCAAAGAGTATTTGCGTGCTGTAGAAATCCAAATCTGAAGACTGAAACATCTGACAGTGCTGTTACCTGCCCCTGAGGAATTGTCAATCCTGACAAAACAGTGATGTGTCCTTTGGGATTTACCTGCTCGGGGTTTGGTTCTAACACTGACAAAGGTGATGTGGGAGTTCCTGAGGTGCCTGTGCTGTCCTGCCCCAGCCACCCTTTGACCATCATGTTTGCAACCAGAGTGATTTCCATGTTTCCTCCTGTAAATCTGCTCAGAGCAAAGTTTGGTCAGCACAGGATAAACCCTAGGGACGAGTGAGCACCTCAGATCCCCCAGCCATGCTCCTCACGGGCATTGGCTCCCATTTATCTTTTCCGTGATTCTCACTTGGACTTAGCCATGAAGAGCCCCGAGCAAGGGGAGAACACCAGAAAGATCACCAGGAAACAGAAACTTTTCACCTTCAGCCTGAAGGAAAGACAGAGGAAAAGAGCTGGGTAAAGGGGAACAGTCAGAGCCTGGGATTTGGTGCTTACAGCAAAGTCCCCTCTTGCTGATATTCTCATTACCTTTTTCTTCCCCTTCTTGTTCAAACTTTCCATTTAAATCTACTTTTAAATTTAGAAACGTGTTTTTCCCAATGAAAAATCACACAGTCTTTTGAAAAAAATCAGGAAAAAAATTGTTTTGGCATTCAAAACATCTCCATGACCCCATCCAGCATGGATCTGGGGGATGGAGGGCTGACTCTGATCCCCCAGAAATTCGGGGGTTTCATTGGATGGACAAAAGCTGGGCAGCCTCCCGGACTGCAGAGCTCGACACCTGGTGCTGAGGCAGGAGCTGATGCGCTTTGTTGCCTTTAACTTACAGCTTCTCCGTGTGTTTGTAGACACAACCATGCAGAAAATCACCAGCTTTAATATCCCACTTGTTAGTGGGGAGTGATTCGTGGCTGCCTCCGGGCTGACACTTCCCAACCTCCCACTTTTATTTGCTTGTCCCCGGTTCTGGGCTCGCAGTGCGAGGCTGTGGCTCATCACTCACCCCGAGATGCCTTTCATGGGCTTGGTGTTGGGCTTTTTTTTCCCACAGCTTCCTCTGCCATTTTCTGCAGAACATCACTCCCATTTAGAGCAGCTGAGACTGCTGGAGAATTTGCAGAATATGAGGAGTTCAGCACAAATCCCCCAGGGAGGAGCCTGTGCTGGAGGGCGAGGGGATGCAGTGCTACCACTGTATCATATAAAACATCTCTATTAACATATCCCATCCCAACACACCCAGGACCCCTGCTGATCTTCTGCAGAGAGGTAAGGAACAGTCAGTCTGTAAAACCTGTCTGAGAAAGAAAAGAACCAAAAGAATTAAAGGGCTGGGTGATATTGTTGTATGAGCTGGTCCCTGAGGGTTTCCAACATCTGCCAATACAAATAATTTCACTGATAAATCTAAAAGTCCGGGTAAGCTCTCAGTCTCGGGTCCCAAATGAGAGGTCCCAGTTAACAGAGATTTGTGCACCAAGCCTGAAGGAAAAACCTCATCTGTTTAATTATACAGATAGAAGTGGGTGAGAGAAGAAACCCAAGGTGGGCAGTGGTAAATTCTGCTCTTGGAGACACAGATGTAATTGTGGCTCTTGGAGGAGCAGCTCCCCATAGGGTTGTGCAAACACTGGGGGAGGACAAGGGCTCAGCTGGGGGATAGCCCAGTGAAAATTGTGATAACCTCAATAATATTCCTTCTGATTTCAGGCAGGGTTAGAGTGAGGATAAGAAGAACCTTCACCCACCCAGGGAATGGGTTCCTCAGCCCCAACCCTGCCCTAATTCCACATGGGAGATCCACACATCCCACCAGACTGCAAACAGGCTGCACAGAGCCCTCCTCCAGGCTGGTGCTGTCCCTCTGGCTGCCCCTTTGACTTGTGGCCACCACTGTGCCCTCCCCCATCCCCTCCTAGGTACCCCACCCAGCAGGACCCAGCTCTGGGAGCTCAGCCTGGTGAGGTAATGCAGCACAGAGTAATTTATTTCCTCTCTTCATTTCTGTATAAAACCTGTCATGAGGTTTAATCCGTCATTACCTCCCTCCCAGAGCTGTGCTCGGTGGCCTGCTGCTAAGCCCAGACAAGGAGATTTACATCTTATCTAACAGGAGTGTAAGATTTATGGATAACTCCCGACGAGGAGCACATCATGCCAGAAAGACACTTTTGTGCTAGTAACTTGATCAGTCATTATGCTGTGAGTTGACATCTAATTAAGCCTCCACAGGCATCATCAGGTCCAGAACAGCTTTTCAGGAGGAGAAAATCCACCTCCAAGCACCGTGGTGGCAGCTTATCCCCAACCCTTGCACTGCTGGAAGAGATAATAATGCTCCCCAGAAATCCCCAGTCTCAGGGAGCATTGGCAATATCACCTGCACTGGAAAAGGGAATCACAGGGGCAGATTCCCAACTGCTGCTCTAAAACACAGCAAAGACTCATTTCTCAGACACTTTCCTAGGCTGTGCCCATGTCCCTACCAAAGTCAGATCCCACAAAACCCCTCCCATGGTTGCAGGGGACTCGTCTGAGGGTTACAACCTTCTCAATGGATTTACTTTTCTGAACACATTTCTTGCCTCTCAGTGGGCTGCCTACATCAGTGTGGAAGTGTAAATCCTGCTCTCCCTCGGCAGGCTGCTCCATCTTCATATTTCCTCTTGACACTGCTTCCAGGATGCCTTGGATGGAAATGCACAACGTGGCTGGAATGCTGCTTTTCGTGGCATTTCCCTGTCATGCTGAGCAGGAAAGTAACACAGAGCTGGGGAGAGCCAAGGGCTTTGAACGTGTCAGGATGCACCTGGAACCAGGAGCCAGTACCTCACGTCACCAATGACAAAGGACAGTGGCTGCTGCCCAGGCTGCAGGTGTTTCAACAGCACCCTGAACACCTCACCCCACTGCCAAGGCAGTCAGACCAAAATGAGCAACTCAACCCTCGCTGGGAGACTGAGGTCACAAGATTGGGGAAGGTTGGGGGGAGGTCAGAACACAAAGGGGAACTGGTAAGGCCATGCAGGGTGTGTGTATGTGGTGTTTGCAGGTGGTCCATGCTGTGTCCTCCGGGCCAAAAGGAAGCCAGAACATGATGGACACCAAGTACAGGAAGGAGAGGAACTCCTATTCCCTCCCATGAAAGGAGGGAATCACTGTTTGTAGAGATATTATTAGAGAGAGTGGCCACTGACTATATTTTCTGCCAAGTGTAATAAATATTGCCAGTGGCTTTTGATAGGGAATGGGTTTAAGAGAGGAAGGGATTATTGCACATGGGCCATTCCAGATCTGTCTGGTCTAAAACTCGCTGAACCCTTTTGTTACTTTCAAAAGACTTACCCAGCCCTGATGGAACCAGAGAATGTCCTTAATAAATTGCCAGGATGTCCTTCAGGTCATGTCCCAGTCTCATCCCTTTTGGTCCGAGCTGCCCAGCTGGGACAGTGACACAAACCACAGCAGCCTCTCATAGAATCCTGGAATTCTGGGTTGTGAGGGATCTTAAAACTCATCAAACCCTTGCTATGGCAGGGACAGCTTCCTCTAGACTTTTCCAAGTCACATCCAGCCTGGCCTTGAACACTTCCAAGGATGGGGCAGCCACAGCTTCTCTGGGCAACCTGTGCCATGGCCTCACCACCCTCACAGGGAAGAATTTCTTCCTAATCTCTAACATAACCCTGCACTCTGCCAGTTTAAAGCCATTGCCACTTGTCCTGTCATTCCATGACCAGTCACAAGTGCCTGTGCAGCTCTCTTGGAGCCCCTTTAGGCACTGGAAGGGGCTCAAAGGTCTCCCTGGAGCCTTCTGTTCTCCAGGCTGAACAACCTGAGCTCTCTCAGTGTGTCCATAGCAGAGGTGGACAGGGAGGTGCTGTCCCTGTGCTGTTCAGAAGAAAGGGTGGCTGCAGAGCAAAGAAATCCACGTTTGCTTTCTAACAGTGTTTGATTTCTTGGCACTCTCCACCCAGAGGCCTTTCTTTGTGCTCCTCAGGAACACCACAGGGAAGACAAGCTGCCCCAGCACCTGCTGTTCAATCCTTCACCTCGTCAGGTCAATGGCCAAAGTAATCAATTCTATGGGGAAACAATAAAAATGGTACAGAAAACAAAGTGTCCCCCCAGTGTCCTGGTTCCCAGCCCCCTTTGCCAATTCCTGCCCCATCAGCTTTAGCTGGCAGGGTATATAAAACCAGCAGAATTTCTCGGTGTGGCCACGGCAAGACACAGATTGAGTCAGAAGAATGGGAAGACCAGCCAGGAGAGGTAAAGATGCTTTTGCAAACTGAATAACTTGATACAGGCATTGCTCCTACTTTTGTGTGTCTCCATAAGGGTCAGCACTCACCAGAAGTGATGTTTTCTGCAAAGACTGTGATAAATATGTATGTTTTCTGCAGGTTAAACTTTCTGAATTACTTGTTTTCGTAACATTGTAAGAGCATTACAGACATTATAAACGATTCCCAAATGTTTTTCAGATAAAACTTTCACCTTTTCATTTGACTTTATAACTCCTCCATAACTTACATTCCTTCCTCCATTAATTTTAGCTTCTGTTTATTTGCTGTTTTTATTCCAGTTGTGGCCATTCTGTGCTCCTCAGTAAGTGAGATATCCCTGCAGGCACTGTTCTAGCTCACAAGATTGCAGAGGCTCTTCAAGGCTGAGCCTTCTGCCAGTGCTTTTAAGACACCACATGAGAGCTGTGGGTTGTTATTGCAGCAAAGCTGACAAGCTCCACACCACTACCCCAATCAAGGAGCAGATCTGTGGCTCTGTGCCAGGCAAGGGCCACGTTGTTCTGACCAGGATGCTGTGGGTGCCCTCTTCCTCCCCTTCCTCCTCTTCCTCTTCTTTCTCCTCCTCCAGGTGCCGGAATGGTGATGCTCCGCACCCTGAGCATCCTCCTGAGCCTCCTGCTCCCAGCTCACACCAGCAGGTCACCCGACTGTGGTGGCATCCTCACCCCCTCTGGACTGAGCTACCGTAAGTGCAGATCCACATCTCCCCTGCCAGCAGCAGGGAGAGGAGGCAGTGACATCTTCTGCTCTGCTGGTGAAACACCAAACGCTGGCACCAGAATCTCATGCCACTGCTCAGCTTACCTGCCTCACCCCCTGCCCATGGCTAGCAGTAAGGGGTGAAAATGGGTTTCAGTCTGTCCATCAGGACACGAGTTCCAGCGGCTCTCATAAAACATCTGCCCTGTTTCACAGTTGCTGAAGTTTCAAAGCCACATGCCGAGTCAGTCCTCAGGAAGGACTTCACGGCCCCACCAGCGCCAGACCCATCTCCCCCCTCCCCAAGTAGGTGAGTTGCCCTCTCTTGCCCAGGCTTTGCTGCCATACCCCTGGTTCACACTGGTATTTAAATATTGTCACAAAAGGCACTTTGCCAGTGAGAACAAAAATCCTCCTGCAGACCAGGAGGTTCAGAAATGAGGTCCTGACTCCTTTGTTGGTGTCCAGCAGTAGCAGAATTCATGCTGCTCTCAGGGCATGGATTTATCTGTGAAGATCTCGTTAACTTTTGGGGTTTCTTAGGGTATGTGCTGGTCTCCCAACACCTTCCCTTCTGCTCCAGCAGGAACCAAATTACCTCTGTCAAAGTTGATAACTTTTCCCTGACCCTGATTCCTGACACTGGGATGCGGCTGAGCATCGAGGTGGACCTTGGCATCACATCTGCCCCGTGAGTGCCAGGGCTGCCGGGCTGGAACCAGCCCAAGCTCCTGCCTGAAGTGACAAGGCACCTGCAGGAGCAAGGGTGGCCTGGGGAGAGTGTGGCCAGGAGCATCCCCCAGCTCCAGCCTCCTCCTCTCTTCCCTGGCACAGCTCAACCACCAAGAAGATGAGGCTGTCCATCCTGGCAGACCTCCACGTGGAGATGAACCCCGAAGAGAACCTGGAGCTGGTGACCTCTGACTGCAAACACACCCTGGAGGAGGTGCAGAGCAGCGAGGAGATGGACAGGTCAGCCCCACAGTTTTCCTCCTTATGGGATTTGGGTAATGGGTGACAGAAGAAACTGAGGCACAAGTGTTTCTAGGCAGGAAGGTGATTGGATTGAGATTGCTCACTGCCCTCAAAGCTAACAAAGGCCAGCACTAGAACTTTATCTTCATGGGAGGAGCTTTGCTCTACTTTTGGGGTGGTTTTCCCATTTTAAGAGAATTCCAGTCTGTCATAAGGGAGTGCTACTTCTAGACTCATACAGCTGGAATGCTTTTAATGCAAGTCCAGTGGCAATTCTCCAGTTTGGGATTCAGAATGGTAATCACAGCTTAATAAAGGTTAGAAAATAATGATAATTCTGTCTCTGGATGCCTTTTGTGACAGATAAAAGACACTCACCCACCTCTGGCTGATCTGGTTTTCTCCTAACTCCTGTTCTGTTGTTTTTATGCAGCAAGTCCTCGGGATTGGATATTGGCAAGCAGATCAACGTTGAAAAAGTAAGATAAAATTTGTAAAGGCATAAGGCAGCATTATATAGGTCTGTAAGAATTAGAGTACTTTATGTCTACCTGGTGGTTTTCCAGATTTCCCCCACAGCTCTGTGCTCACTGGACACTGCCATCGTCCCCTGGCTCCTGCTACCAGCCAATGGCAACACCCACCTCAGAGGCTTTCCAGGGCCACCCAATGCCAACAGAGCCTCATGTCCATCTATCACCTCTCTTTTTGTTCTTTATTCCGTAGATTTGCCTGGAAGTCTCCAAACTGCTGCTTTTTCCAAATGAGCGGCTGATGTCTCTGGCAGGTGGGCAGCTGGCTTTCAGTCCCATTATGGACTGAGGGTTTCAAGGAGCATTTTGGAGCAGATTATGAGCTGGGACAAATTCCTACCCTGCAGCAGTAGAGGCTCTGCTGTCATCATCTCCCTGGGGACCTGCTCTCTCTGCCCAGCTCTTTCTCTGCCTTTTTTACTCTGGAAACCCAGAACCTGTTACTCCTTCCCTCCTCTTCCTGAGCATCCCTGTGCTCCATTTGCAGCTCCATTCCCCATCACACCAACCTGCCAAGTCCAGTACCTGCCCCTGGCTGCCCCCATGTACTCTGACCAGGGAATCATCATCTCTTTGCAAGTAAGTCCTCATTTTCCAGCTCTTACAGCCCAGCTCCAGTCCTTGGAAGAGCTGCTTCTACCGAATGCTACAGCCCTGAGACACTTGAAAATCATTTTCTCTTTGCCTGTGTCCCTGCAGACAACTTTCCAAGTGGCAGGGACAGTGATCCCCCTGCCAGTCAGCCCTGTGCCTTTCAGCATGCCTGAGCCAGCGCGCTCCAGCCCTTCCCACCTCATCCTGGCCTTCTCTGGGCACTTCTACACCAGTTTATTCTCTGCCTTGGAAGAGTCTGGAGCTCTCAACGTGACTCTCCTGGTGAGTGGAACAACGGAGGAAGGAAGGAGTGGGAGATACATACTTGGAGAGACAGCCCTGCCCTGGGAATGTCTTGGAAGAACCACAAACCCTACATAGAAATGAGTGTGTCCAAGCACCTGCAGGAGTCGTAGCCCCTCACCCCCAAGCTCCTAAAATATTCCTGGTCAAATGAAGCATGGAGAGTTTGCCATGAGGAGTAACCTGCACACTGCTCCTGGCATGAGCTGCTGTGAGGAGGGCTCCTGCACGACCCCAGGGGTGGGATGGTGCTCATCAGAGGGGCTGCATGGCCACGCTGGACACGAGCCCTGGAGCAGCAGCCCCAGGCACCCATGGGTCTGATCACCAGCTGTGCTTTGTGTTTCAGAGCTCGCTGACCACTGCCACCCTGGCTGAGAGGATCACTCAGGTGTGTTGCTGTCACTGAACCCCAAGAGGCACAAACCCAACTCAGGCAGTGCCCACTCCCCACTCTGGGGTCACAGGGATGCTGCCATGCCCAGAAACAGCCCTGCTCCCTTGGCAGATGGGCTCCCTCTTCCAAGAGGACCTGCCAGTGGTGCTTCAAGCTGTGACCCGCAGTTCACCTCATGTGGTGCTGGAGGAGGACAAAGCAATCGTGAAGCTTTTCCTGACTGCCCAGATCGGAGCAGGATCATCCTTTTTCCAGAGCTTCCTGAGCGTGAACGTGGTGAGTGTGGAAGCACACCAAGCTTGGGAAGTGTGTGCTGTGAGTGTGTCCCTGCTGCCCACAGCCACTGCAGGGCTGATTCGGCCTTCCCATCACAGCACTCCCGGTCTCCAGCAGTGCAGGATGCAGGGTGCACACTGCAGGAGCAGCACACGGATGGGTTCAGCACACCCCACCAAGCCCAAGCGGGACTGGCTCCGCACTGATCCTGCCCTCTGTTCCCCTCACAGGACGCGACTGCCAGGCTCCACCTCAGCGTTGCCGACACGAGGATGATCATTTCTGTGGCAGCCATCGAGTAATGGCCCCATCTGCACTGCAGGAGCCCAAGGGACACGTCCCAGCTGCAGCGGGGAAAGGAGGGGCAAAGTGGTCTGGGGAGGGTTTTAACTTTTAGAGTTTGGGCATTGCAGACGTGGCTTCTTCCCCAGGGAGACAGTGAAATTCCAGAAACGTGGCTAGGGAGAAAAGTGGGAACTGCAGCTTCCACACTCCCACAAACACCCTGAGCCCACATGGGGAGTTTGGGACAACTGCTCAGTAGAGCTCAGCACCAGCAGCTCCTCTGCTGCTCTTTGTTTTCCAGGGATATCGAGCTCAGCCTGGCCGCCTCTGATGTGGGTCCTATACTGGTAGGTACCTCCAGCTGTGGCCACTCCTGGTACCATCCTCTAAGAGCCTGCTCTCCCCATCCTGGGCAGCGGGTGCCAGCAGGGAAATATGGAAATACTGACTTTGGGTGCTTGCTGCACCTGGTGGGAGGGACAGCTGAGTCCTTGTGGGATGGGAAGAGGTGCAGTGAGCACCAGGACCCTCTCACGGGTCTCTGCTCCTCTCCTCCTGCTTTAGCCCCACACCATGAGCTGACCCTGGCTTTCCCCCACAGGCTGCCTTGCTGGAGGAGTTGTTCCTGCCCACAGTCCGTGAGGAAGTGTCAGCCCAGATAAACAGTGAGGAGATGGAGCTCTGTGGGTGCTGCCATGCTGGATGCTCCACATGGACCCGGGCAGCACCCAGCTGGCAACTTTCCCTCTTTCTTTCTTTCTTTCTCTCAGCCATCCTAAGACAAGGTGTTTTCCTGCCCCACATCGCCAGTTTCACTTACACCGATGTCAACATCACGATTCATAAGGTAAGAAATAAGACATTTAAATTGCTCCCTGCTGTGCTTGATTTAAAGGAAGCCTGGGAGCAATGCTAACCTCCCAGCTCCAGAATAAATCAGGGCCTGATTGTTCAGCCCTGGTAACTTGCAGGACCAAGTTCCATTGCCTTAAATAGGCTGAGCCCATCTTTAGGCCCATGGGCTAATGGAGCCACACAGGCACCATGCTCAGTCCTTCCTTCCTTCCTCCCTCAGGATTATGTCTTGATCCCCTGCAACCTCCAGCTAGAGGCAAGGACTAGACAGACAAGCACCCGGCAGTGAAGTCCAGTGTCTGTAAAACAGTGAAGAATCATTCAGTTGACTCTCACATCATGCTCCATGGTTTGCCACTGCTTGAAATGTTGAAAATCTTCTTTCTTGACTCACTAAAACATCATTGTTTTATATTCTGGATAGTAATGGTGTTGCACTAGCACCTTTCTCTTCCAGCCCTGCTCTTGGTAGTTTTGTTGCACAGAGAATGGATTATAACAACGTTCCATGCTTTAATTAAACATTTCTCTTTAATTCTGCATTTGCGGGTGTGACTATTGACATTTTTCTCCCCTCAAGAATTTATACCTATAAACAGACAAATTTTGCCCATCATGTCCAGACCCTGTATTTAATTAATCCCGCTCATTTACAAGGATGCAAAACAGGCTCGTGCCTCTCAGCTGCAGAACAACATAGCCTCTACAACCAGAGATCTTTCATCTGCTTTTTCTCCATGTCTTGTGTTACTATGGGAACATTACAGCTGGTGAGTTTCCTGGGTCAGAAAGAAGAGGAGGGGGAGGAAATCAGTCTGCAGAATGGTTTCTAATTTTAGACCTGAAGGCAGTTATATTTTCAACACTTTGCTTCTGAGGAAGCTTATCACAGAGAAAATGCTGAATGAGAGGTGACTGCAGGCATCAGACTGCACTGGCGCCGCGGTTGTTGGTGTAGGGATGCTCTTTCCTACTGACCAAACACATCTCCCGGGTGTTCAGGAACATGAAGGGGGAAAAAACACCCGCAACAGACATAGGCATCCAAAAGGGGGAGGGTGGGTGGTAACAGAGCTTCAAAAGCTGCCCCAATCACTCAGTCACTGGGTGCTGTTGGCATCTACCCCAGACAGGGTGAACCTGTGGCTGTGCTGATGCCCAGGAGGAGAATCCTTGTCCTTGACCATGCAGCCCAGAGGAGCATCCTCATCCCTGACTGTGCAGCCCAGGAGGAGAATCCTTGTCCTTGACCCTGCAGCTCCCACCTCAGCTCTCCCATGGTGATGCTTCATGTAACACCCCAGTCATGAAACCTTAATTACATCTACATCTGCTTTCACTTGCTACAACTATACCCATCATTTCTAGCCTCTGAAGCTGCTGGAAAACACTTCAAAACCTTGTATTTCAAAGGCTCAGAAACAGGAAAGCAAACAAAACAAGCCAGGTTGATTTACTGCAAGGAATAAAGAACCCTGAAGGTTTATATGCCCAGAGTGGGGACCTGACTAATGATGTTAATGCCCGAGGTTGGCCATAGCAGGAACAGCTCCTAATAAAAGTTTCCTGGTAGAGCTGCAACCATTATTCTTTGGCTAATATATGTTAAACCAGTTTCCCAAAAGGAATAAGCTACAGTAGTGGAAAAATGCATTTCTTTGGCAGGGAATATTTTGGCTCCAAAATATTCACTGCATGACTCTGCCTCTCCAGCACAGGGCTGGAGTCTCAGGAGCTGCACCCAGAGCTGCCAGCCCCACCTGGGAATAGCCACAGACTTAGAGCAGAGCTGGCTCATGCTGGAGAATGAGGGTCTTCTGCTTCTTCCTCCAGTCACCCCATTTACTGAGACCCCCAGCACAGGCAGGGAAAAGGAATGCTGAAAAAATTGTTTGTTTTAACACCTTTGGCAAACACAAAATCCATCACTCTCCTGGGCAGTCCTGCAAGAGAGCTGCCTGGTGACCCCCAGCTTCCCTCACTACTGGCACATGGAACAGCCAGATGGTTCAAAGGCTGGAGCAGGGGGAACAAGCCCCTTCTCCAGACCCCACAGAACAGCAGAGGGATGGAGCTTTTACCAGGGGCATTGCTGGAGCAAGAGCCAGAGAGCTCCAACAAACCCACAAACCACCAGCAGCACAGCCAGTCCCTGGCAAACCGTCCTGCTGCTCACCCAGCAAAAGTTTTTCCAGCCTGTCAAGGTTCTAATGTTAAAGAAACTTTCCTGAACAGGATTATCCCAGCTCTTAAGGGTTCTGAATTGCGGTTTCTTGCTCTGGGTATATTTCTGAAGCCACTAGAAATTCAGAGCATTAGATGTACAAACTGCAGAAGTGGCAAGTAACACTGAGAAGATGCTGCCCTTTCCTTTGGAAAAGGCTCCTCTGCTGCTTCCTCCTCAGTCCCGTGTGATGAGCAGCATGATGGAGGCCAGACCCCAAGAGGAAAAGCCTTTTCCAGGGGCACAAGATGACTTTTCCACTCTTCTGTGACCCTGGGCTCGCTGTGCCAGTGCTCCGTGAAGCAGCAAGATCTCATCGCATGTTCTCACCACACTGTTTTCTTTCTCAAAACAAGCAGAGGCCTGGGGCAGTGCCAGATCACAGAGTCCTCTGTAATGTGCCAAAGAAATGAATGCCTCCCAGTAGAGCACAATACACACAGAAGTGATGGCCAAACGGGAATGAAAAGAGGGCCTAAACTTTACTTACTGTCCAGAAGGTGTTTGCTCAGGAACTAGAACAAAACCTTGTATCAACACAGCCTGTTCTGCCAACCTATGGGCAAAAAGGATGGATGGTGACCCCAAATCCCAGCAGTGCAGGAGCCCTGAGGTGGCACAAAGCAGATGCCAGCACAGGTTGCTGGGGAGTTGTCACTCATCCCATCCTCCAGGTACCAGGATCACACAGACCCCCAAATCCTGCTCTGCCAGCTCTGAGGACGTGCTGGTGGCAGAGAACATGAGCAATGGGATCTGAGCTCCCTGCTCCTGGCTCCTGAACAGGTTCCAAAGCTCCACAGTGCTCACCCCTGTTGGCACCTCACTCCACGGGGTTCAGCTGGTGATGGGGCTGTACCCAGCTGCTTCAGCACAGCACCCTGTCACCACACAGGAGCACCACTCCTGCCCAGGGACAGGACAAGGCTTGTGCCACCAGCAGCTGAACAGTCTCGGGGAGCACAGTCCCACAGGCAGCATCAGCCTGCACCAGGCTGGGAAGCAAAGGAGCTGTTTATACTCACCAGGACACCCATCTTCAATGTTAGCATGGACTTCAACCCACCCAAAGCCTTTCTGCTGGACACAAGGCAGGCCAGCCCATGTGGTGACAGTGTGTGACACCAGGTTTGTGTTTGGCACAGTTCACACAAAGACAGACCCCCAATGGGTCCAGCACCTTCTCTGCCGTGTTCAGTGACTCCTCTGCATCATCTCACAGCAATGCTGGGAGCTCATGCAGAAGCCACAGGTTTGGGCTCTGCAGATACTGAGCTATTCCTACGTTCAGGCAGAAATGCAGAGTGGAATATTGCCCCATCCCTCACCTGGTCAGTGCCAGACTGCCACAGCCTCTGTGGTAAGTAACACATTCATAATATCATCCAGTGCTGGGAAAAACTGGTGTTGAAGAGGTCATTTAAAACCTGAGATTTGTTGTTCTTTTTTTTTTTTAACCCAGGATAATCTGGGCTTTTTAAAATCCAAAATGCTGCGATCCTTGTCACTGTGGCATGCAGAGACCAACAGGCTGTGTGTGACATCAGCCTAAGCAGAGGTGGCTCTGGCAGGCAGAGGGATGCTCTCCAGGGCTATCAGACCCCTCAGTCCTCTGGTAAGGAAGATTTCCCTCCAGATTCTATTAGGAAATTCTACATGACCTTTGGAAATTCGATTTAATTTTGATTTCTGCTTGTAGATTAGCATTTAGTCAGCAGGTTATCAGGCCAGGAGGAACCACTGAAAGTTCAATTTTTTTCTTAGGAAGTTCAAGTGGGAAGAATTTTCAAACCCAAACTCAAAATGTCACAGAGGAACCAGATCCCAGAATGGAGGCAGGACAGAAGCTCACCCTGAAAAGCATCAGAAACCACAACCTCATTCCAAGCACTAAAAAAGTAGGAACATTTATTAAAAGATTTACATGACAAATGTATTCTGAGATCCCACTCAGCACTTCACACCCTCCTGGACAAGGATCGGGAGACTCACTTCAGAAGCCACATGCAACAAATTCACTTTTTCATTCTATCAGGACAAGTTTTACCTCAGAACAAATTTCCCAATTCCACTGCAGCATCACATTTAACTGCAGTGACTGTGACCCCAAAATCACACCAACATCTCTAAATAAATATTTGTACACAGAGCTGCCAGTCAGGTTTGGCTTACGCAAGTGTCAAACTCTACTCACATAAGCCAATTCACTTTAAAGTGTCTCAAATATTATCAAGAATATTGAATCAAGTTTGGTAAAGAAAAGCATAAAAGATAATGCTGGTCCTGGCATTCCATCCTTGCTGCTCTCATCCTCTCTCTGCCCTCACAGTCCTCTCCATGCCTCAGGCTCCACAGCTCACACCAGAAACAATATCAGGCCCTGAAGGAGAGCAGGGAGAAACACAAACACAAACACATTATCTCCCATCAAGGGATATTGGTTCACAACACACAGCAACGACAGAACCCTCCTGCAAAAGTCCTCATGTCCAGTTTGTAATAAGGAGGTCACAGAACTGTTTGGGGAGTGTTGGGGAATATCCTGGCTCCTCCAGGACACCTCCAGAGTGAACTGGGCTGGAACTTGGGGCAATTCAAAACTCTTAGAATGGTGCCACTGGAGAGGGCTTGCCTGAATGCCTGGATCCACATCCCATTGAGTTCTCCAGAAAGAAAAGAGGGCCTGGACAGAGAACTGGGACCTACCCCAGTGGCTGAGCACTGCTCATGATGGAGCTGGGTCCACACCTTGTGTGGGCATCACATCCTCAGGTAGCATTCCCTGACCTGAGGGAGGTCAGACAGAGTAGCCCTTTCAGTCTTTCAGGGATTAAAATCTACAGCTCTGGCACACACAGCCATCACTGACAGGTCCTGTGAACAGCCCTGGTGCCTTGCAGGAGGGAACAGCCCATCCCAGCACTCACCGCTTTTATCTGGAAATCCACATTCACTAAGGGGATGTGCAGCACCTTTGGCAGTGGGATCCCGATGCTCAGGGCACCTGCAGGGGACAGACAGGTCCTCACATGCTGAGCCAGCTCCCACCATGACAGAGCTGCTCC